AAACAATTAAGCAAGTAACATTTGGCAAAAATTGGGATCTTGTTCACTATATAAGTATATGATTATAAACATCAATGCTGTGGTATCTTCTACTGCCAAAAGTATATTAGGAGTGATGATTAACCTGTTAGATCAAATTTACCAAATCCAATATGTTAATGAATCTTCAGGTCATTCATTCCAAGACGCCAGAGAAATTGCAAACTACTTGTAAGTTAGATATTAGCATATGACAGCCAACAAATTATGGCCTGCTAATAATATAGGATGCAACTTAAATTATCCCAGACTGTTTCCTGAGCTCCTCAAAATCCTCACATCAGCTATACTGAAAAACTATTATTTAACTGACCCATCAGGAAAATATCCCTAACATGCAACCTGAGAAATTGTTTTTGAGAATTCATCTTCTCTTGAAGCACTCAGTATCTTAAACCAATTCTTCAGGGAAATGAGTATCTTAATCCACCCTTCCTAATGAGTGCACTAGGGGATGAGTTATTCATGCAAACTACAATACTGTGCAATAATTTGTATTTGAAATACTTCCTAGGACCATGACAGAAGCTAAATGAGTGAACAAAAAAATCTAAAAAGGGTGGAGGTTAAAGATCTGTCTCCTTAGTTGTTTTAAAAGCATATACTTCCTATCACAAACTGTGTGTAACACAAACCTTGACTCAATGATACACAGCTGTACAAACACAGTACAGTAACTGGATCTTGCTTCTTTCCCTCAGTCATTGTGAAAAGTTCAAGTAAGAGAATCCATGATGATTTTTACATTGTACATTCATTTAACTTAAGGATAAATGGTATTCAAAAAGAATTACTAGAAGTCCATTTTATTACTAGCAAGTATTCAATTAAAGAGTGAGAAACCAGTGAGAACAATGCTGAATCATGTTCTTCGTCTTAAATACATCAAACAGTCAGCTGTGGAAATGAGTGATTTAAAAAACATAGCCCAGAATTCTTGCACAGGTGGGACAGAACTATGTGCACACAGAGCCTCTGATTGCTATTTTTACAGAAAAAGGTTCCTACTGCCTAAGAGGAAACCCACTGATCAATGAGAATAGTCATCAAAACTTCCACTCCTGCACCTTATAAACAGATTTCCACTTTATAAGCAGATACTTATTGTTTGATTATTTGATTAAAATATATACCAAGGTGGACTTGTCTTTTAAAAGCTAATTTTAAAGACCTATTTCTGAGAGAAGAATTTGCAAAAGCAACCAATAAAGGCCAGTATATAACTTCCTTGAGTTTAGAATGTTAACTGTAATACGAGCTCTTATTTTAAGATGAACAGTTTAATTGCATTAGGAGCAGATGTGGTTTCATGGAAAATACTAGTACTGTATATTGTTGTCTATACATATATGTTAGATCTATTTTCATTTTGAAATATATGCCAAGCGTCGAGTTGTAAATGTAGACAGAAACACTAATGGTTAGCCTATGGACTATAGACTGTGTCCTATTTGAAAAATGAAATTTTTTAAAAAAATCAATTGGGCTCTTACTGGCAGGATAAATACTGATGTTAATCAAATATATTGACAATGTGCGCTAAACCAAAGTTTCACTTTGCTCTGTATTTGCAACGTAGAATTCCTTTCTAAAAAGAAAGAGTTAAGATTAAGTAATGAATGAAGAGCAATGATCATGCCTAGAAGAACTGGAACAGTCACACTCACTGCTGGTCAGCCCTGAACACAGGTGGCAGCCTGTTTTATCTATTACTACAAAATATACAGCTGTAGCCAACACATTGTAAAATACAAAAGGTGTCTCTACAGGGATGGAAAGCACACCAGTGCCAATCAACTAACATAACTTATTCTCCCCATGATCAAAAACAAAAATAAAAACGTTGAATCTAGGGAAGGGGAATTTAAGCAAACTAAAAACACACTTTTTTTCCAGCAAGACAAAGGAAGTAGCTACACGGCTGCAAACTACAACATAATTTCATTAACATTTCCATTATACTATTTTCAACTTAAAGTTGTCCACAATTACAAATGTTACACATGGTTAAAGACTCAATTTCAAATACCTTTTTTCCATAATAGTTTTCCTTTAACAAATGAACTAAAAAGTCACATGCAGAATACAGATACACTAGCCGCATAAATCTCTTCTCTTCTCTTCTCTTCTTCTCTCTCTCTCTCTCTCTCTCTCTCTCCCCTTAATAATGGTCAGCCAGTCATTGAAAATTAAATTACTGGCATGCACCAGAGCCTAAATAACTTGGAACCAGCATATTTAAAGGGCTGCCTTCTCCTACAAAAACCTGCCCAAACTCCAAGATCTGCTACTAGAGCACTTCTCTGGGTGTCCCAACTTTCAGCGATGAGAGCGGCACTAGGTTTGAAGGAGTCTTTGGCATACTACCCTGAAGAGTCCCCCATTCCATTGCTTGTATTAAAATGTTGCTAAGTATGTCACTTTTGAGATGTAGTATCAGAAATCAACTGATACATTCTTAAATAAAAAGAAACCAAGTAACTTTAAATTTCTTGTTTTTCATTTCTGCTCCTTCAGTATCCAGTGTGTTAATATTTTTATCCAGCCCTCAAATCAACTGAAACAAGTAGCCAGAAGTCAACCCCAGAGGGTAACTTGAACCAGAACACACCAAAGTTGTTCCTCCTTTTTTGTTGCAATAAAAGAAAAATTTTATGGGAGAGCTTGCCAAGATATCCCACTTGCCAGCTTTTGTGTTAAGGACTGCTAGAGATAAGGCACTTGGTAGGTTCAGGTAGGAGGCTGGCGGTAGTAAAGGATAAGGGTTGAAATCCATTGTGATCCAATGTCAATTGTTGGCTTCTCCCCATATCCTCAGTTTAAGGTCTGGAGCTGTACATAAATGTATCATATTGACATAGCTTGCCCTTAAATGCTTTTAACACATCTGCATAATGTTAAAGGAAAAATGTATCAATATATGAACCATTTTAGGGAAAATTGGCAATTTACTGATTTTTCTTTCTCTAATTTGATTTTTCCATTCATTCTCATTCCCATCACTCAAAAATTAAAAACCTTGTGTGGTCTGAAAATGATTCAGTGAGTGGGCTAACTTAGAATCAAATAGAAAAATCAGGGAATATGTTCCCAGGATATACATGCCAAGAACTATAGCAAGCTAGTGCAAAACCTGCCTCAAAGATATGTATGTGTGCCAGAAACCCCTGCCTGATCTTCTGCCATACCATCTGAATAGCAAAGCAATCACTCCCACAGAGAAGATCCACAAGCATTCTAGAAATTCAAAACAAAAACCATTGATCTGAGGCAATGTGGGAAGAAATCTCCAAAGCAAAAAGTAGTACAGATCTCGTCCAGGAAAAATAGAGACAGCCAAGCCCTCCTGCAGTAAAATCTCAAGGTATCTTGTACACAGCTTATGTTAAGAGGGTGTAATCCATATTGATTTTGCCCTTCAAGTCTACAACAGCTTTATTTTTTAAGTAATACATATTCATGCTTTTTAAGGTGAAACATGTCCAAAAGCCACATTATTTCAATAGGATTTTGATTTGTTTGTATTAGTTAGTAAGCATCATATTGAGGCTCGGGGGGTGAGATATTTGTGATGGGTGAGCTTGACTAGATATCACCATAGACAAATTTGGAAACAAAACAAATTCTTTTTTGCACAATTGGAAATAACTCACTTCCTTTTCCTATCCACCGTAAGGCTCTAAAAAGCACCCCTCTAGCAAAGTCAAGACTGTGACGAAGACAGAAGTGCTCAAGAGAGCTTTTCCCACTCACTTCGTTGCCCAACTGTAACACAGCAGCCCTGCAGTGCTGCCAGCGGGCCTTACTCTCCGACAGTTACTGCCACCACCCTCCCAATTACTCTTTCAGCCCCAGATGGAAGGGAACCTGGGATGCACTAAAGCAGTTCCCTAGCACTCAGTTCAACTTGCACCTTTGTGGTTCACTTGGAGTGTAGTGGAAGCATTCACTCTCTCCAAGTCCCTCCCAGACCTCAGAAGAGTGTGGTTGTAATTCCAATCCAAAATTCCCAGTAGCATGAATGCCAAGTGTTTAGGCATGTAGGGATCCAAAAACTCTGAGACTGGCAACCATATACACAGCCAAATTAAGAAACTTTTTTAGAGGGGAAGCAAAAGGTCAAAACATAATATAAAATAAACCTGAGCACTGTGGCTCTAAAACTGAACTTGCTTATTCACTACACTCGTTCAAGTTTACTCACAAAGAATCACCAAGGCTGGTCAGCTTCATAGAAGATTCCAGCTTGGAACCCTGGTTCTCTAAAGGGACCTGGATACCCTGATGTTGGGAGGTACATTTCCCCTCTCATTGGGTGGGGAACCTTGCCTCTTTCTCCTCATGTTCTTCAGGTAGGCATTTTAAGTACCCATTTTGCATATGAAGAGCCTTGGCAGGAGACATGTGACATCTTGACTTAGAGAAATGGTGGGAAGCTCAGACCTTTCTTCACAAAGATTTCATCCACCGCTTTGCTAGGTGATTACCTTGCATAGCTACCCTTATGAAAACTGGGCTTGGGAGCAAAAGCCAACCTATGTTTGGGAACCCTCTTTTACCATGCGTCTTCCATGGGCCAGTGTTCCTAGTGACACTTCTTTAGCACTGGTAAGTCAGAAAGCCTTCTCTTATTTGGCATTTAATAAAAAGAGCGAAGAATTTCAGCACTTCTAATGATCTCCTCTTCTTTGAGCAAACATCACCAAAGCCACCAAAATTTCCTGAAGAATTTTGGTAGCATCTATGGCCTGTCTGTCCATCCATCTTCACAAACATCAATTCTTCTATCACACTCCAACATTTTGTTTTATAATACTGAAGCACGGAGCAATTGAGAAGTAGGAAGACAGGAAGCTGCTTATAGTGAGTCCGACCACTGGTGCCTCTAACTCAGTACTATCCATATTGACGGGCAATGACTCTCCAGGGTTTCAGACTGGGGGTTCTCTGCCAGCCCTATTTGGAGATGCTGGGGGTTGAAACCAGGACCTCCTTCATGCAAAGGAGATGTCCTGCCACTGAGTTACAGCCCCATCCCTTGGAAAGGGGGCAGGCAGGCAGGTTTGTGCAGTGACAGAGCACAGAGAGCCACGTAGCCTTCCCTCTCCCAATACCTCCTTTCTTGCTCAACCTAGGAGCACACCATTAAAGAAGCTCCAACCCAGGTGGCATCTAGGAAAGAAAAATAAGAAAGGTGGCTTTGTACAGTGCATGATGACATCTTCTTACTCTTGACCCAAGTTCAACACATTAGCCCTAGCATGCACAAAGAAAGATGAAACACACTCTTGGAGCAGAAGGAACAGGACAAGGAGAATTATGAATCCCAGCCAGCCAATTTTGAGCTAAAAGGAGCAATGGTCCCACTCAATATGCAGCTGCTTCTTATGTCCCTGAATTGAAGTGGAGAAGAACAGAGACAAGGCAGGAATAGGGTCCCTCCCACACAAATGTCCCTAACCTACAAATGTATTTTAAAAAGATCACAAGCACTTAAAATTAAAAACACATAACCAGACAACAAGTGATGAAGGAATCTGTTTTAATTTCCTATGGGTGAACAACTGCAGGCAAAGCATGCAGCTTCTCCCTTCTGGGAGAAGCCACTTCAAAATAGGTTACTCACATGCTGAGAAGAACATTGTTCCCATTGCTGGACAAAACTGAATGAAACCAAACAGGAGACAAGCTTCCCTGCAACACCTCAAACCCTTACTAAGAGTTTAACGTAGCAGCCTCAGATGCTATGAAATCAGAAGCCCATGTAGACACAATAGCACTCTGATGCTACTTTTGCAGCTGGGCTGCTGCTCCTTTACTAGTCCAAGAATACATTTCCATAGACTAATATCAACAGCAAAGCCAACATTTAAAGAAATCAAAGCATTTTTTACATTGTGGAGTGCATACATTTATAACTCAAGTTGTGTTAATAAAAATCTGAAATGTCACTGGGAGAATATATTTCGTTCTGAAAGGATCTGAAGAGGAAACAACTGGAATGAGAATGAAAGGGAGAAGATAATTCTCCTTTTGTTCCCTTTTTTTTAGTAAAGGGTTCTTATTTTCCTGTGTTCTGGGCTGTCTCTATAAAGATTGATGTTTGGTGTCACTGCTAGGAAGTGCAAACTGTTCAGCTTCATTGCAAACTATGTCCTCATCCTCCTGCTCTGCTGGATACCACATACTTTGGCAGCTGATATTCAGATGGGAAACACTTTTAATGGCAAGAATGGTTGCCAGTGAAACCTTTTCCCACAATGTCCAAAATTCTGAATGTGCATACATTAAAGGGGAACATTAAAGTTAGAGTACGCCAAGAGTAAACAAATTAAATAAATAAATAAAAATGCAGATATTAACTAAGGTATGTTGATATTACTTCTACAAACTCAAAAAGAGAATCAAAATAAAAGACAATTGGTCAACCATATACTTAATAAGAAGTTTTGGTCAGGATCTAGAAAACCATCTGACCTAGTTTTACATTCCAACTAGCAGCGTTCGAAACTCCCATCGTTCTAGATGCATTTTGCGACAGGGAATTTCATTAATGTGAGCAGTTTCTAGCCCTGGGCGCAGTACTGAGCCTAAGATTTCAGATTAAAACTGCCACTGCTGGAAGAAAAGGAGGTGCTTTTTCTGCCTCCCCACTTCCAGCCACTCCCTGAAGACTGGAGAAGGGACCCTCATAAGAATATTAGTGGGGCGGGCAGGGGAAGTATGGCTTTGTTTTTTGCATTCTTCAGATGAGGACTAGACTATGTGAAAAATGAACATAAGATTTTAGCTGCAGTTCATTCATTTTCAGTTTTGTATTTTTGTTCTAAAAATTGTGCCTAGACACTCCATTGCAGCACCCATAACCTAGGTTTGAGGTGCCATTTAATTTCTAGCTTTCATATCTCAGTTTCTAACACCACCATCTGGGTTCCCATATCTACTTTGAACATCATCCCCACATATCATGGGGAAAGTGGCTTTCAAAAGTTGTTTGCAATTTGGGTCAAGGGCCCACTGTTTGAAAGGTTGTGTTAAGTCCAATTGCAAATACCTAAGCTGATGGACACACCTAATGCAACTCTTCAAATCTTGGCTTGTGTGTTTAAAATTGTGTGTGTTTAGTTTACATGTATTTTTAAAAGAAAGGCTATTTACATACCACTTTCTTTGCATAGAAATTTCACTTCAAGTGTATGTATGGATAGAAAAAACAGACAAGCTTATTTTGTAGGAGATGCACCCCCCCTCAATCCCCTGAATTTTAATATGCGGGTGGGGAGGGGAGAACAGCTTATGCTTTCCCCACAATTTAAGCCAAGGGAACTCATTGTGTTGAAGGAGATACTGTATTGCATGGGGGGGGGGAGGATGGCACATAGCAAACAACACAGTCTGTTCTGAATATTCATAGTAATGATCTGAAAAACGAATATGAGATGGATAATTAAATCAAGGAGGTATCCAATTGAGGAAATGTTTTAGTAATTGGTGACTTCAGTAATGTTAACATAGACTGGGTATGTGTCCATTCCGGTCATGATGTGCCCTAGAACAGCTGGTGACCTTGAATCTAATATCAAGTGGAACACAGGACCTGGTATTGGATGTAAATAATATTGAATTAATTAGTTCTATCATATTCAGTATATATGAAAACGAACAATTGCCAAGGAAGTCCGACAGTCACATTTGACTTCAAAAGAGAGAACTTCCCCAAAATGAGGGTAAAAGGGAAGTTGATAGCGAAAGTAAAGAGTAACAAATCTCTCCACAATGCTTGGGAGCTCCTCATAACCACAATAACAGAAGCTTGTCTCGAATGTGGAAAACACCACTGAGGCAAAGAGGATGCTAATACGATTAACAAGCAAAGTCAATGAAGCTATTAGAGACAAGGAGGCTTCCTACAGAAAATGAAGAATAAACAAGAACACAAACTTTGGCAAAAGAAATGCCACGACCATTGTCCACTACAACCAAGTATTCATTTGAATGCTTCCAGGGCAATTTGTTTGCTTGCTATGTCTTAGTTCTTGACTTATTACAATACTAACTGAGCAATTTCTAATCCCCCAATCATATACCCTTTAAATCACACACATATTTTTCTTAATTTGGTCTCCACACAAGCAGTAATATAGTAAAAAAAATAAAAATCAGAGAACAAAGATGGCTGAACTTTTCTGTGATTCTTACAGAGTGATAGTAAAAAAAAAAAAAAAATGCTGTAAGGGTGGAATCCTAACCCAACTTACCCGGAAGTAAGCATCATTTATTTATATGGGACCTACTGCTGAGTAGACATGGTTAGCAAGGAATTTCTGGCTAACCTGGTAATGTACATAGGAGCATAGGAAGCTACCTTATACTGAATCAGACCATTGGTGCATCATGCTCAGTAATGTCTATACTGACTAGCAGTGGCTGTTCAGGGTTTCAGTGAAGAGTCTCTCTAACCGCTACCTGGAAATGTCAGGAATGAACCTAGGACTGCAGATGCTCTACCAGTGAACTGTGGTCCTTCCCCAATTATATAAATGACATCATTTTTATAATCAGCTGCTAATGAAAGTAATGGCACTGATATACCAGTGAAATCTTGTACTTAATGGTAAATTCTGTGTGTCTGTGTATATAACTTTTTTTTAGGGGGGGGAGTGGGGAGTTTGAGAAACCTGGCAAATAATGCACTATTGTTTTCAACTTCTTCTCTTCTCTACTCCCACACTGGAATTCTCTAGTTTCCTTTTTGCATCTTGTTAACCCGTCCTATAAATCCTTTGACTACGGACTCTAACTTACTGTGTGTCAGGTCCTGACCTAGAAAATACTAGGCCTGAAGCATTGAGAATACTTTTATTGCCATTAACAGATGACAATAAATCTCACGACATCTAAAGTATCAACCTAGACGGCAAGAATAAGCCAATGATTATAAATGTGTTTAGGAAAGATGACCTGAGTGCCTTGGATCTAGGGGTGGAGATGGAAAGAGGCAGCCTATGCAGGTGTTTGAGATTAGAATAAGATGAAATAATACTGGCAAGTATAGTAAATGGCCTTTCGCTGTTACCAATATTTTTAATGTTCTTATTCAGCTGTGAAAAGTTACAACTAATTTATCTGTTGACAATTTCTGACTCAAATTACAAGAGATCAGTGCTCTGACTTCCACTTCCTATCAAGTGTACTCTAGTTAAAACATAAATAATGCACCACTGCAAAAGGGAAAGAAGAAACCTTACACTTATAACACAAATGATTGTGTTCTTCGATTTATTTATTTTTTTAGGTGAGGTTGCATATGACACAAAGACAAACTATATCTCCACAATGAAAAATAATATATTGTATTCAAGAAGCAAAACTCTTTTTAAGTCATGACTAACACAAGTCACAGAAATGTCATGACACATAACTCTCCATCTTTACCAATCAAGCTGAAATTTGTCCATCTGTCATGGGTCACTGATGACAAAGGCTGCAAATTTAACTTAAGTGTCACAATTTCAAATCTATAGGAAAATATGCTCCCAAACATCTTTCAAAAGGCAACAGACAAAGTGTATCAGGATTACTTCACATTTGTCTAAGTCAGGGGTTCCCAAACTGTAGCCCGTGGACCAGTGGTCTGTGAGCTTTATTCAGGTGGTCCGCGACAGATCTGAATATGTGGCTGAAGACAGGTGATAGCACAGCCATCACATTAAATAATAAAACATATGTTGTCGATATTTTCCCACATTTTTTATGCTATTTTTGTGATATACACATGACATGAGAAAACTTGGTATACTAATTTGTATAACATTATTCTTGTTTACAAAGAATACCTAATAAAAAAATTAAAAAAAAATAAATAAATATTCATTTCGATTTTTAACTGTATTTTTCTTCCTTTTTTATTTCTTATATTGGTGCCAGATCCAACCCTCTTCCTCCTGCTTCCCTGGTTTATTTTCTTCCTCTTATTCCAATTCAACACATAATAAATCTGATACTACTCTGATTTTGACCACATACACAATCA